GTTCTTGGAGACCGCATTCTGGACGTTGCGGAGCTTGGAGTAGAGGAGGATCTTGGACCCAATATGGGCCACATCGGAGGGGGCGACGATAATGACCACTGAGGTAGTGGCCTTGCGGAGGCTTGGGTCAGGCTGGAGGTACCGGGCACCGAAGATGTCGACATCCTTGGCGTTCTTAATGGACTCGGCGAGTGCGGGAAAGAGGTCGGTTTGATCCGGCGGTAGGAAGGCCTCAGGGAGGCCGTGGATAACCAGCTGTACCTCGTTGGGTGCGGGGCGGAAGGGGCGGTAGGGATTGTTCCCAACAGCGAAGGACTGGTTGATTTTGTTAGCGAGCGCCTCATAGTAGGGGGAGTAGCTGGTGGCGGGCGTGAGGGGATCGGTAGCTAGGAGCGTGATGACGCCACGTGCATTGACAGTGGCTGAGAAAGAAACGGGGAAGGGACAGTTGGCCTCTCGAAGAACGGAGGCAACGATGTCGGGGGCTGTGGCTGCCAGGCAAGTTGTGTCGGGATGTGGGACCGGGGCGGTCCAGGGGGCGAAGAAGCGACGTTCAGCAGCAGGAAGGGGGGCAGCCTCCCGCACTCGGGAGGGGGCACCACCCGACGCCGCGACTTGGGCTGCAGTGGTTGCTTTCTTCTTGCCCTTGGTGCTGGTCTGTTGTACCGCGCCCCTAGGAGGGGCTGCAGCGCTGGCGTAGGAGGAGGAGGAGGGAGGGACTAGTGTGAGGAAGGAGGGGGCGGGGCTAGGGCGGAAGGTAGCTTCTTCCGGGAATTCACCCTGTGCGAACTGGAAGGCGGCAAAGGATCGGGGATGTCTGGCCGCGAAGGTGCGTGGGTTACCGTACCACACTCCATCAACTTGCACGGGGGAGTCGATGTCTTCAACCGGGATGTCTAGGACATAGCCGGGAGGGGGGCGGTACTTAGCTCCAGGGGGAGCAGGAGGAGGGGGGGGCGGCGGGGGGCGCCTTGTCTGTTTCGGAGGGGGGGGAGGGGGAGGGCCCAATGGGGCGGCTAAGGGGCGGGCAGCTGATGCCGTCACTCTCAGAGAGAGGTTGCGGACGGAAGCTTCTAAGGCAGGGAGGGAGGGGGGATCCTTGGGAGCAGCCGTGGAGGACTGTTCGAGGGCCTCCAATCTTTGGATGATGCTGCCAATCCCGGAAAGGGCAGTGCAGACAAGTGGTAGGAGGATGACTTCGCCGGCAGACAGATGGTGAAGCTGAGCATCGGTAGGGGGGGGAATCGGGGGGGCAGCCTGTCCTATGTGGCGGAGGGTGCGGGCTAGTTCATCCCTTATCAGGGTGAGATTATCGGGGAGAGCGGGGGTAGGAGCCCTTGACTCGTAGGGCGAGGCACGACTGGAGGCTCGAGAGCCAGACCTTGAAGGGCCCGGACCAGGCCCCTCCATAGTGAAGGGGGCTGTGCGGGGTAGTGAGGGGGCTGTGCACTTAGAGACTGAAGCCTAAGCGACGGAGGAGTTAGGTGTGTGGAGATGGTTGCCACGCAAAACCCTGGAGTTTTGCCTGGCCGAATGCGGTAATGTTTTTAAGCGAGAGGAAAGTAGAGGGCGCGGAGCGTGTCTATACGTTTTTTGTATCCTAGACAAATAATCAATCTGTCAACCAAAAACAAAACAAAAATCCCTAGCTTTAAGTCTATCATCAGAGACCAGAGAAGAGATCTTATCAATATATTCATTCTACTTTACTTCTATCTTTACGAGGCTTCTTGACTATCTCCGAGAAAGAAGATTACAGGGCCTAGTGTATACTCGCTTGACTTTAGAGTTACCTACCCCCTAACGCTTAGTCCATCTGGATAGCCAAGAAATTTGCCTATAGGTATACTCTAGCAAGGTTTCCTTCACTGCCACCTCCTGCATGCTCCCCAATAGAGATAAACTCAGTTCTCCTTATGTATTTTTTCCCCGCTCCTGCTCTAGTTCCTTTTATGTCCTTTTTTCACCTGTCTCTTTATAGTGTCCCATACATCATGCCTGTCAAAGTCTCTGCCATACTCCAGCATTCAAGTTCATCCTCTACCTCTGCCCCTGGGCCAGATTTCATCCCACATAAGGTGTGACAGAAGATCCATCAGGCCAATAATTATCTGCTCCTAGCCCTTCTCAACCTACTGCTAGCCCACAGCTCCCACCCATGCTCAATGAAGGGAGCAAATGGGGTGGTTCTCAATAAACCCAGAAAGCTTGACTATTCCTCTCCTTCTTTCTTTCAGATAATACTATTGTTTGGGATGGTGTCTAAGATCCTTGAGTACATTGTAGCTCTGTACCTTGCCACTCCGGCCCATTCTAAGGGGCTGCTCAGCTTGCATGAGTGTGGTTCACTGGCTGGTCTCAGCTGCTTCAATACGATATCCACTGTCTCCTATGAAGTTAAGCTTTTCCAAGCTAGGAGCCTCTTTGTTTCCTTAATTTTCCTTAATATCAAGGATGGCTTTGATAATATTAATAGAAACTAGGTCACTACCATCCTTAGCTGTACCCGGGTTCCATCGTATTTGATGGCATAAGTGACTTTTTTTCTTTCTCAGCCAGTGCAAGTATTACCTGGTATTTCAAGAGGATCCTAATGTATTTTCTGCTGTTTCTATTGGTATCCCTTAAGGGTTACCAATTTCTCTGTTATTGTTTGTTATATATGTTTTTTCTCTTCACCAAGTTATTTCTAGGGGCCTTATAGTTTTCTATATAGATTATTTTTCTATTACTGTTGCTTTTCCTTCCTACCATAGTAATGTTCACTCCCTCTGCTTTTATTTTCATATACTAGAAATGGTAGGGTAAAGGTTGGGTTTTTTTCTTTTCTGTTTCAGAGACTGAACTCCTGCACTGGCATATGTCTAGGGATAAGCATCCTGTGTACTTCCTACCCATCAGCCTTAATAGTATAGTGTTTTTCCCTGGGTCCCAGGTGCATGAGCTAGACTATTGGTACACACCCACCATGGACACTACTCCTTACATCATGCAGCACCTGGCTCTTATTCAGGCCTTGTTCGTACTGGTTCACTACCTCAGTAGCCCTAGGGGGGGGTCTGTCTCCATGGTACAACTGCAAGCTTGTAGTAGGCCTCCTCCTGCCTATCCTCACTTTCAGGAGCGACTGTTTTGCCACCAATGTAACTATACTTCAAAAGCTTGACTCTTTTTGACATCAGGTTCTATGATGGGTAACCAACTGCTTTTCCTCTACACCTATCTCAGTACTCCACTGCAGGGTCTCTATTCCTTCACTTGGTGAAATTATGTTACACGAGCATAGAACTACTGCTCTTAGGGTGGCATGCTCTCCTCCTTCTATCAACCCTGCTATGGCCAACCTCCATTCTGTGGTGCCAACCTGAAATAAATGGTGGGAACCCTCAAATCATCATCTTCTCAAGGGCCTCAAAGGGTGCATACTGCCTACACTCTGGTCCTCCACTCCCTCTTCCAACTAAAAATACCTTCCACTAGATATGGCTATGTACTCTATAAAGTCCCCTTGCCAGCTGTTCTCCCTTTGGCTAGTCCTAACCTGATTGTGCCTTGGTGCTATGTAGTACAGGGCTCCCCCTTATTTCACAATCTAAAGTTGAAACTGAAAGAGTCCCTACTGGCAGGATGGATGAAGTCCAAGCCAACTCGGGTACCCTACCAGTTTCTACCCTCAAGGACCCCCTACGCCTTCATGGACCTGCCAAGGTTATGGTAGACCATCTCCATCAGATGTAGTCAGGAAAAAAGCTACCTGGCTGCTTACAGGTCCTGGTACTTTAGTGATAAGCCTACACTCTGTCCTTTCTATGAAGAGGAAAAGGAAGACTTCAAGCACGCTATCCTTTTCTGTCCAGCTAAGGCCAGGCAGTACAAATCCCAACTTCAGGGCATTGGCAACCTAGGTCCTGATGCCCCTGTATAGTCCACAGCCAACCTGATACTTTGGTTAGCTAATTATGTTTCTTCTGCTATGATGGGTTTTCCATCCAAAATGTCTACTATTTGAGCGAACACTGCCCCACCCCCCGCCCCGCCTCCAGGGCTAGCTCCATTACCCTGTTCATCCATGTGAGTACTCATAGTTTTCACTGTTGTGATTTTCCTTATTAGTTTTAGTTCCTGGAGGCACCTGAGGGCTGGAATAGTATAGGTTGCTTTACTTGTATTTTCTACCACTTAAGGTAAGCCCATGTAGGAGGAATTTCTTTACTTTACTTCATCAGTCATCATGGACAATGCAAGAGGCTATTTTGCTCCGCTTTGAAGATACTGCTATGTTGATTATATTTCTTTGTTGTTTTTGTATTGAAATTAAGGTTTTTTTCTATTACCATATTGTGAGGTGCATGTACGTTTTTAAACCAGAATCAACAATTATATGAAATAAAAAAAATAAAAATAAAAATAAAAATAAAAATAAAAAAGATATTATAGACATTATAGGGTACCCCTGTCCGATATTGCGTGCTGGCAGCGTCACTTCTTGGTGACCATCTTGATAAACTGACCAAATATGGTAATACTGCTAACTTTAAAGAGAAGGCAACTGAGACCTATACAAGGTATTATAGAGTCTCCAACTGAATTCTCAAACTGTATGATAGCTTTACATTAAAAAACTTCCCCCTGTACATTCCATCATTTCCTACTCCGTTGTGGTCCATCAGTGGTTGGCTTGGCAATTTTGTTGCATAGCCACTGTTGCATTTAGCTGTGCCACAGAGTACACACTCTTGGGTTCTTGCACCATATCAGTATTTTGTTGTTCTGAGGGAATACGAGATTCTTCGCAGCTAGTGGGTTCCCCGCGTATTAAGGCATGGCTGATTAAGGCCTTGATTGGCACGGCACAGGATTAAAAAGCTCAGTTTTGGCGGCATGCCAAACAGGGGACACCTCCTGCCCAATGTAGGCAATCCTCAGTTGCTTGGTAAGGTTAGGGTTGCAGGTTGTCACCAGCGATCATAGCGGCTCATGAGTCAACCCCCCCACAACATATAGGCAATTACCCCTCTATCCCTCGAGGGATCCCGACCTGCTCATCACCTCGCCTCATCTAGCAGATTTCCCCCATCTTTAAACCTCGACAGTTGACTGCAATGGATTTTCCAAAAGAAGAGGAGAGAATCCTTGAATTCTGGCGGGAGATTGATGCCTTCAGAACCTCCGTTAAGCTCTCAGAAGGAAGACCGCCCTACTCGTTTTATGATGGTCCTCCATTCTGTACTGGGTATATTTCTTCCTTCGCCGTTTCACTCGCACTATAAAGCTTACCAACTACGTTATATTAGTCTACCACATTACGGTACTTTCCCCCTATACCTGCTTCTCCCCCGACCATTTTTCCTGACTAGCACCCGTAGGACATCTGCTCGCGAGCACAATCAAGGATATTGTTCCGCGATACTGGCATATGAAAGGCTGTTATGTCGAGCGACGATTCGGATGGGATACCCACGGTTTGCCTATCGAGCACGAAATCGACAAAAAGCTTGGAATTACGTCGAAGGATGATGTCCTTAAAATGGGAATGGATAAATACAACGAGGAGTGCAGAGGCATCGTCATGAGATACTCTGCCGAGTGGAGGCAAACCATTGATAGGTTAGGTCGATGGATTGATTTCGACAACGACTACAAGGTTTGCGGGTACCCATCACTAATGACTGCGGTTTGCTGAGGGAAACATAGAGCATGTACCCAACATTTATGGAATCAGTCTGGTGGGCTTGCAAGCAACTTTTTGAGAAAGACCAAGTATATCTAGGATATAAGGTCATGCCATATTCTACCGCTTGCACCACACCTCTCTCGAATTTTGAAGCTCAGCAGAACTACAAAGACGTCCAGGACCCTGCAATTGTAGTAGCTTTCCCGCTGTTGGATGACCCGACTACAGAGCTGCTTGCTTGGACCACAACTCCTTGGACTCTCCCTTCACATACCGGGATCGCGGTTCATCCAGATTTCGAGTACGTCAAGATTAGTGATCAAACTTCCGGCAGGAGCTATATCCTTCTCGAGTCGTGTCTTAAGACACTATACGGAGAGAAGGGACTGAAAAAGGCGAAATACACCGTCTTAGAGAGGGTCAAAGGAAAGGACATGCTGGGTTGGAAATATGAACCTCTGTTTGACTACTTTTACGAACAGTTCAAGGATTACGGATTCAAAGTTTTGAACGCAACATATGTTACCTCGGATAGCGGAACAGGGTTGGTACACCAGTCGCCTGCTTTTGGCGAGGAGGACTATTTAGTCGCCATGGAAGCGGGTGTTATCAGCGAGGAGAGGCCTCCTCCGAACCCCGTGAACGAGGCCGGTATTTTCACAAGTGAGGTCCGAGATTTTGCCGGACTTCACGTAAAGGTAAGGCTTGTACTTAGCCTAGTATTAGGGGTTCTGCTAACCTTATTTGGAGGCCGCAGATAAGGGGATTATTAAGCATCTCAAGGAAAACAAGCGACTGATTGTAGACAGCCAAATCACCCATAGTTATCCTTTCTGCTGGCGTTCTGACACTCCCTTGATTTATCGCGCCGTGCCTTCCTGGTTCGTCCGCATCCCTAACATCATTCCCAAGATGCTGGAAAACATCGAGGGTTCGCACTGGGTGCCGACAAACGTCAAAGAAAACAGATTCGGCAACTGGATTCAGAATGCAAGAGACTGGAACATCTCTCGTAACCGTTACTGGGGCACGCCCATTCCTATCTGGATCTCTGATGACAGAGAAGAGATGGTGTGTGTCGGAAGTGTTGAGGAATTGAGGAAACTTAGTGGTTGTGGGGAGATCCCGGATCTTCACAGGGATAAGATTGACCATATCACTATCCCTAGCAAGAAAGGGAAGGGCGTTCTGCGAAGAGTTGAAGAGGTTTTTGATTGTTGGTTTGAGTCTGGAAGCATGCCTTATGCCAGTAGTCACTACCCGTTCGAGAACAAAGACCAATTTGAAAAGGTTTTTCCGGCAGACTTCATTGCAGAAGGATTAGATCAAACCCGTGGGTGGTTCTATACTCTCCTTGTTCTCGGTACTCATCTCTTCGGTGTGTCACCATTCCAGAACTGTATAGTCAATGGTATCGTCTTGGCTGAAGATGGAAAGAAGATGTCCAAACGTCTCAAAAATTACCCAGACCCGACGCTGGTTATGGATAAGTATGGGTCAGATGCTCTCCGACTTTACCTTATCAATTCACCCGTCGTCAGGGCTATGCCGCTGAGATTTAAGGAAGCCGGTGTTAAGGACGTTGTTGCTAAAGTCCTATTACCACTATGGAATAGCTATAACTTCTTTGAGCAGCAGGCTCAGCTTCTCAAGAAGCTCGGAGGTGTTGACTTCAAATTCAATCCCGAGTCCGGTGGGAGCAAGAATGTCATGGATAGGTGGATCTTAGCCAATTGTCAGAGCTATCTCAAATTCGTGAACCAAGAGATGAAGGGTGAGTCTCCTAGCTTTAGGGTTCACGTCATATGATTTCTAACCATCTATCATAGATTACCGACTTTATACTGTCGTTGGAAGAATGCTTGAGATGGTTGACAATACTACAAATTGGTATATCCGGTTCAACAGGAAGCGCCTCAAGGGCGAGTATGGAACGGAGGACACTCTACATGCCTTGAATTCCCTATTTGAGGTTCTTTTCACCCTTGTCCGTGGAATGGCTCCATTTTCACCGTTCCTCACAGACAACATCTACTGCCGTCTCAAGCCTTATATTCCTGACTCTATGCTGCCTAAAGATGCACGAAGTGTACATTTCTTGAGTTTCCCAGAGGTTCGGGAAGAGCTATTCGACGAGGAAGTTGAGCGGAGATTCGGAAGGATGCAAAAGGTTATCGAACTAGGCCGTACATCGAGAGAGCGAAAGGCAATTGGTCTGAAGGTAAGTGATAAGCAATTGCTAAACCGAATTTTTCACAGCTAATATGTTATTCACCCCTTAAGACACCCCTAAAAACCCTTGTTGTTATTCATCCCGATCAGACCTATCTAGATGACATCAAATCTCTAGAATCCTATATTACATCCGAGCTAAACGTCCGAGATTTGGTCCTCTCGGCAGATGAGGAGAAATACGGTGTCCAGTACAAGGTCACCGCAGACTGGCCCGTCCTCGGAAAAAAGCTAAAGAAGGACCTCGTCAGAGTCAAGAACGCGCTTCCTTTCATTACCAGCGCGGAGGTCAAGAAATTTGCCCAAGAGAAGCAGATTATCGTCGGGGGGATTGCACTCATCGAAGAGGACCTCGTCATCAGCCGTGGCCTCAGCGACTCCGGTACATCTCAAGACCTTGAAACAAACTCCGACAACGACGTCCTCACCATCCTGGACATAGCCCTCCACAAGGAGCTCCAGAGTGAAGGCCTTGCCAGAGAGATTGTCAATCGTGTCCAGAGACTCAGGAAAAAAGCTGGCCTCCTCCCAACCGACGACATCAAGATGGAGTACAAAATCCTTCAAGACCCGATCGGGTTAGAAGAGGTGTTCGTCGAACATGCCGACACTTTTGAGAAAGCTCTCCGCAGACCCCTGGATAAAGCTACCATTACTGAAGTTGGCGAGGGCCAGCCCGGGGAGAATTCGGATAAGACGATCCTGGAGGAGGCTCAAGAGGTTGGGGAGGCTACGTTCATGCTTAGGCTGTTGAAGCTTTAGTTTGATGTTCTATGTAGGTCTGCTCTACACGGGGTACCTTTCTCTCCATTGCTTACCGAAAATTCCCTTATTTCTTTTTTCTTTTTTCTACCTCTCATCGTTCCCCTATGTAAGGTGCAATGAAGCAAATAGACAGATATCCATGCTGATATAGATATTGTGCGTTACCCCTTCATCGAAGTAATAGTCTCCAGAACTCAGTTATGCCCACAAGCTAAAGCCCAAGAAACCATCCAAACCTAAGCCCGACAGCTCGGGTGGCCAGAACAATGTGACATGATAAGATTACCATATCGTACTCGAGCGCACCTACCCCCGGGTACTGTGCTCCACCACATTAAACCCACAAAAGATATGTCACACCATACCCACATAAGTTATGCAAGTGCCCTTGTTGGCGTATGCGCTTGCCCCGTCCTACCAGCGCCAAAGTCCTCCAGGGTACAGATCGCCGCATTGTCACATTTTCGTCGCTTCGCCAGGGTCAGAGTTTCTAGCACAAAGCCAAGCTTCGGTCATTCGCACATTTTCGAAAGGCTTACGAGTGACATTTTGTGACGGGCTGGAATCTGGACTCGCGCGGCTTCTCAAGGAACTAGCACAAGCAGTGTTCAGCTAATTCACGCGCGGCACGCAAATACTCTCCAAGGCATCTAGTAAACTCGCAAGTTGAAAGAGACTACTTTTTCACCACGACCAGGACCAAAAAGAAAAAACATCGGAAGAGGAAGAAATTCATGACGCATAAGAGCGCTCCCGCAATAATCAGACCAGACCAGAATACACAATGGTAGAACATAAAAAAAGTGAGAAGGATTTGTGAACAAAGGGCGGACAGCGCAGTACAGCCCCATCTAACTAAACTTGACTCTGAATAGATACCTAATCTTGACTTGCGAGACGTTGTAGACAATGTACTATGACTCATTAGCTCCCGCCCGACAACATCCAAAAGCGAAGGAGAAAAGGGACAAACCTCGTTATACTGCAACACAAGCTGGTTACCGCCCTTCGTGGTATTCCCAGTGACGTTCGCCTCCTGCCCAGTAACCATGGGCATCTGCACGCCCTTCAAATCCCCATGCACAACGCCCGCATCCTCCCACTTGAGCGGCGCCGTGGAGCCGAGTCCCTTTGTAGCCAACCGGCCGGCCTGCCGACACTTTGTCGCAGCGTGGTAGTCCGCGTTCCCGCACTCATACATGGGGTCACCGAGCTGGGCCTCGCAGAGGAGGAGCAGGCCAGTATTGTCAGAGGCGTAGGCGCAGCAGTAGTTCGCGCTTTTGCTGACGATGTCGGCGAGGTAGATGCCCTTATCGAACATGTACCCGTTGACGGGGGCCTCGGGCGGTGCGATGCGCAGGCCCTGGGAGAGGATGCCGGGGAAGTTGGTGGTGCGCGAGCCGTGCCAGAGGAGGCGACGGTCGGAGTTCGAGAGCTCGTCCCAACCGTCGGCACGCCAGCGCTCTTCTTCCACCGCGCGGTGCACGCGGAAGATCTCCTCTACATGGAGTTTTTGGTAGTGCGTGTGGCCGTGCGTCTTCTTCACGTACGCTTCAAGGAAGTTGAATTCTTTGCTAGAGCGGTCGAGGGCGGTTGCCTCATTAAGACCCAAGCTATCGAATTGCTTGTCGAGGATGTTCACGTTGGGGGTCTTCTCGGCCTTGGTTTCCTTCAGAAGTTTCGTCGTGATGACCATGTCTGCCAAGTTCTCCACAAGCGAGACTTCCCGCTTGAGCAGCTCGTCCGAGCAAATGATGGTGGGTCGCGCGCGTCCAGGGAAAACGTGGGGGACGATGGAGTAGTAGCGGTTCGACAGTTCGGTCAAGATGTCGTTCCTGCTGCGGCCGTATTCCGCGTAGTCCCTTTTCCAGCCGGGTGCTTCTTCGATTACTTGGCCAATGTCCTTGAGGACTTGGTAGCCTTGAGAAATGGTTGATTTTGAGAGTTTTCCTAGAGGGAGCTTTGCAGCGTCGTAGGACATGGAGGACATTGATTGTTGCCTTTTTGCATCTGATTAGCATTCGGATGTAGGTTGGAAGAGGGAACAAACATCATCTTCGTATCAAAGATCAAACTAATAAGGTTCTGCAAAGCCTTGCCAAGCTTACTCTTGACTTCCTCCACACCCTTCATCTCCTCATCCTGCTCATCCTCGTCCTCCTCGTAATTCCTCTCGAGGAAGGTATACTTTCCCGCACCACCCAAGGCTTCGGCGCGTTTCGCCCAGACCTGGCCGGTCTTTGACCTGAACCTCTTCTCAAATTGGTGGGTGGCTGAGAAGAGGTCTACGTTCTGGGCATACAGCTTTGACTGGCCCCTGTCCCCTACACGGCCCCAATGGGCGAATACGGAGTATGTCTTGGTGGCATCGCCTTCGAGGAGTTGGAGATAGTAGAATTTATTGTTGTTATTGCCGATGTTGGCTTGGTTTAGGGTTGCGTCGTAGACTAAGCCATTGGGGTCGACGTAGACGTGGGCCTTCCCTGCTTGGAATTGGTATTTTGTGCGCATTCATATCCTTGGAGAAGAGGGACATACCAGCGATGGGACACAACTCGTCAACTGGCGCCTTCCCCTTCTTAACAACAGTCTTCATCTTCACTTCCTCTGTCTTCCGATCCTCCTCCTCTCCCTCCTCCTCCCCAGGCTCCTCCTTAGCCTTCCCTTTCCCCTTGCCTTTACCAACCGGCATTGGCTTTGCCTTCTTGGCCGCCGGCTTCGTCTCTTCCTCGCTCTCTCCGTCGTTGATTGCAACTTTGGCAGCAGGAAGGGAGCCAGCAACCTTCCCACGAGCGCGCTTCTTGGGCAATTCCTCCGGCTCAGCCTTGGTCGCTACTGGTGCAGCAAGAGCAGAGGAAGCGGCAGTCATGCTCCCACCGCCACCAACCAAAAAAACCCCCTCATCACTCCTCTTACCATTTTCAATCGACTCGAGTAACCAATCAAGATTGACAATTTTCAGGCCATCGATTTCCTTGGCGGATTTGACTATCACAAGGCATGGTTAGCCCCGTAGCAATTGAGCAAACTAGGAAAAGCGATTTAGGCACCCTTAAGGCTTCCCTTGTCGAAGTCTACCCGTGTGGTTAGGAGATGGGTAACGTCTCCGTCGATGACCTTTGCGAAGGAGCCGCCGTTGGCGAGGACCAACTCCTCAAGTTTTGCTGTGGAGGTGTTAATAGGCGATTGCGAGGAATAGGAGGAGCAGGCAGGATGGATACCTTGAGTATAGCCTTTATGGGTACCGCTAACAGCAACGACGAGGTTGCTGAACACCATTACGAAAGGGTTATTCCTCAACGATTCGTCGGTATGCGTGTGTGTTTGTGTGTGTTCGTGTGTGTGTACGAGTATGATAGCGTACTCGAGCACGTATGAAGGTGGGGGTGAAGCAAGGTGACGTAGAAGTGAGAGAGGTACCAGTAGAGTCACTCAACTCAGAGTCGACAGTGAGGCAACTCTAGGATGAATAAATAATAATAATAATATATAATATTATAAAGATATATATAAAAATAAATAAATAAAAAGCTGTGCTCGGGGAAAGTTCACAAAAGCCCACAATGCTTTTTATTAAAAAAAGAAAAGAAAAGAAAAGTTAGAATCCAGCGCGAGCAGGTTCAACCTTTAAAGACATTTTTCGGCGTGAATCAACGCGTCGCGCTCACGGTGTCAGGTGGTATAGGGATCGGGTATTGTAATTGTAAGAGTCATGGTTGAGGCTGAGGAGAGCGGAAAATGCATGATAATACTGTACGAGTACGAGTACAGTACCGGTAATCGTGCGCTTGTGACTCATGACCAGGACAACCGCAGGGTCAATGTACGAGTACTCGAGTACTAGTATCATACGGTACTAGTACAGTAATTTAGGTATGATATGCAGGACCTGATCCCCCGTACTGGGGTAGATCGGGCGCAGCGCCCGTCCGATATCCGACTCACATGCACTTTAACTGACACGACTGCGCAAGGGTGTGTCACGGTGATGCAGTCATGACCCGGACCATTCGAGAATGGGACGGCAAGGGATGGAGGGGGAGGAGGAGGAGATGCGGGGGGATTGAAGCGCGGAAGTCAGCCCCCTATTTACATGTTATAGTCAAATACCAGTGCCTACCGTACTAGTACATCCCTGGGGGAAGTTGTTTTCACCTTACAAGTGTAAGGGTGGGGGTGTGGGAGAGTACCGGTACTCGAGTAGTGCCAGTGCTGGAGGGCCACGATTCAATATGATATTTCGCGCTGGGCTCCACCGCTACGAGCGCCGTAACATTATCATACTCAAGCCACGATTCTACGCGTGACTCCTTACGGTAGTGTGAGTGCATGATAATAATGATTGTCCCGGGAGGAAGAGGAAGAAGAGTGGACCCACAGTATTCATTCACAAGAGGACCGGTGCGATCCATGCCTCATGTGGCCCCCACACAGGGGCATCCACTACTCGAGTACCGGTATGGTGCCGGCACCTTAGAATCAACACTGAGTGCCATCGTGAATGAGGATGACTAAGCAATCCTTGGTGCCAAGGATTTGGTAGAGAAACCGAGATGAGATATGATGAGGGGTTTTTATCAACTAATAAGTGTTGGTACAAAGAAGATGTCATACAGAGGAGAGTTGATGCTACAATAGTAGAATGTAGGAGGACGGAGCTAAAGGTTGCAGCAAAGGGGGAGGGGTTGAGGCAGGGAAGTAGCCCTGAGCGGGACAGAACGAGAGATTAGATACTAACATGATTGAAGTATATAAGAAATGAAAGAAATATATGAAGCTGATGGTGAACTTTATTGCTCAGCTTCACGCATTCGAACTCGCCGGTGTGAGGTAAAAGTTTGAAAATCCTCACTCGCATATGGGATATTATGCCGGTAGGTATTGAGACGTTGCTGACACCGCTGAAAGAAGCCATTAATAGTACTATTAGGGACAGTGGCCAATGCCTCCGAAATGACTTGTCTGAGGGACTCTATGTTGTAGTCACATTGAGTACGAGCATACTGTTTTGCGTGACCCCAATAATACTCAATCCAGTTGAGTTCGCAATGAAACTTAGGATAAAAAGCGACCAGATATCCTTTTCCCTCTAGTTCCTCCTGAAGCTTTCCACGCTGGGCTTGAAAGTTCTCCTGTAATGAAAGCAGTCTTCTTGCACAACAGTCTTTCAAAAAGGTTAGAATTTAGAAAAGTAGTTAAGGAGCAGGTAAATTCTTACTAGATGTTTGACAAGCGGGTGGGAGCTCATTGCAATCTGAGCACTTCCGACGATAAAAGGGCTGACAGGATTGGCACAGAATGCGTTTGGTGCAATCAGGACAGTTTTTGCGTGAACTGCAAGCTGAACATTTTCGTACGCGCGTGCATACCCCTACACGTGAAGCCTTTCTGCTTGCTAGGCAGCGGTCACATACTCTTCCAGAAATACAATTTTTGCATTTCTTTCTTTCAGTACATGGTCCACAGAATGGCTTCATACACTCGAGCTTTAAATTGCCCTCCCAGAGGCCTCTTTCCATTAAAACCTGTCGAATTCCCTTTGGCTCCCCCTCTTCATTTACCATCAACTGAACTTGATTCTTATCTCCATTCATGTATCCAGCCTGGATTTTGGACTGCTTTCCTCCACTGTCTAGATTCATACTCTGAACTCGTAAGGCATCCTCAGCAAAGGATGCATGGCTAGTTGCGTTATCAAATAAGAATAAAGCTTGGTATCCTGGGTAGACTGCTTGGAAAATAGGGAGTGCGATCTCATTTATATGTTGTATAATTTCATCTCCTCCCCAATAACCTTCCCCATTAGTTCCAAATTCAAACTGTTTTGTAGCAAATTCAGGAATTCCGAAGACTGCTCGCTGGCTCCGGCTCAAGTTAGATGCACTCAATCGGGATGCAGGAAGCAGGAAGCCAGAGACCATGATTCCCTTTCCTCGTCCTTTTGGTACAAGAATAGGCTTATTCTTTACATGCCATGCATATCGTCTACCATCATGGGTATTAAATGTGCTCTCATCATGAGTGATAAGAATAATAGGCTTGGAATCTGCTGATCCTGGGTAGCAAGAATTGGGATAATCTCGCTCTTGAATCGTACCATCTGGGTTGAATCGCACAAGATAAGGATCCAAGGTATCAAGCAGAGTAAGGAAGTTCTGCCTCTCAATTAGAATATCTGGACGCTCATGACCATCAAAATAGACTCCCTTTCGGATTTGTCTCCAATCTAAGCCAAGTCGCCGTAACCATAGCCTTGCTGTTCGTGCTCGGAAGCCTTTCCTTTCCCTTAGGCCACTGTCCTCTATTCCATCCTGAATTCCCGTCCTGTGAAGTAGAACCTCTACCTCCTCTCGGCTTTGATTGGAATTATCCTGCTCCACCGTATTTACAAGCAAGGACCATTGCTTATCCAAGTAAGCTTGAATTGCCCGAGCCAGACCTTGACCAGAAATATCTAGTCATCATAATATTAGAATATAATAATCATTTATGTTATATAATAAGAAGTAAAAAGCAATTGAATTAAAAACTAACCAGAGCCTGCCTTCGCTATATATTCCCGTGCAGTAAGAATAATACTCTCATCGTAGAGTAAAGTGCCTACAGTATGTCTTTCATGCACTCCCTGTCGACTTGGTTGAATTGTTCAGTTTTCCACCCATTCCCTCTCCCATTTCATAATCTGTCTAGCGGTATATCCTCCTCGGAAGTAGCTCTTCGCAACATTTAATGCTATCATCCTTCGCTTGTCATCCGGGGACAGCTCTTGTGCCCACATAAAAGATCGTACCATATGATACCTTCATAATGTTGCTGGATTTGGCTGCTCTTTCCCGAAGTGCTTTGTTAAAGCCGTTTTATGCTCTAACAAATGGTGTAAATCTCGCATCCCTTTCTCCCGCTTTTTAATATATTCCTCATCAGGATGCAAACATGCATGCGGCAAATCTGCAAGATTTGGCTGCCTGGCCCATTCTTCGTCCTCTAGCTCCTCCTCTCTTGCCTCACTATGATAAAACAATAGTGTTGCATTCTCATCATCTTTACCTTCTCCAGTCTCTTGCTCTGCACTCGATCCTACCAGTCCATACTTGTATTCTTTGTCTTTCTCCTTAATACTAATGCCCAGAGCTTTTTGTCGATCAAACATCGCCACAATTGAATAGCACTCTGAAGCTGCCTTTGCTCTCTCTCTTGCTTCTTGTTTTTTTTCGAAAAAACAAACGCGTGAACCTAACTCATACTTCTTCCTGCTTTTATCCTCCAGATCACCCCCTTTCCCCTCTTCGGGTTCAACTCGATCGTTTCTCAGCTGCGAGTCCTCGTAGTACATTTGCATTACATCAAATGCCGATTTCTTATCCCTCATCTCTTGATATCCCAAGCTTGAGAAAGCTATATCCTTATCACTTTCTGCCCTACTCTTATCTTCCTCTAAACCCTTCAAATCCACTTCTTTATCACCTAAGTTGCTTACAATATCAAACTCAGACTCTGAATCGTCTAATCTGTTTTAATCCCCTGAAGTCCAAGTCCCCTCAGAAAATTCTTTATCCTCATCCGTCCAGGTCTCTGATGAATCGTCCTCCGGACCGATCCACCCTGCCGCTCGTCCAGTCAAAATCCTTATTTCTTGCTTGCATTTTACCGATACTGGTGGCTCAGCCCCCACCTGTATTATCTTCTGTCGAGCGCATTCTAGTTGTTTTCGTCAAGCCACTGAGAGTCGTGGCATTTTTCACAGCTTTCGTTCTGGTGTTCAGGCTCTCATTTCATCTCAGTTCTCCCCACTTTTTTTTTTCAAATTACCCGTGGTCTTTTAATCACGTGATATCACTCGTGCTTGGCATCTATACTTAACCTAGTTAGATGTTACTTCAACCCCTTCCTCCTTCCAGTGCCATCCCCTTCACCTCTCATACAAAATATCCCAACTTCCTCGGCTATTTTCTCCATCACCAGTAAAGTTCTTTCTTATTCCTTCTGTAAAGTCCTTTTGATTCATCCTATCTTTGCTTTTACAGAGCCATTTTCCTTATTGATTTGTGGTTGTATTGCTTTCATTGATCAAAGTTGTGTTGTTTTTTTCGGTTGCGTGAGTTGATCCTAAGGTGCCGGCACCATACCTAAAACCAAGCAAAATATAATAACCAAGTCAGGTGTGCAACTCACGTCACCTGAGTGAAACCCATGACTCATAAATTGAGTCATGTGCGAAAATCATAACATCATGTAACTCACAACTGTGAGTCACGAACAGGTAAACATAATAACCTATG